TCTGTTAAAATGTGTGATTGTGTCTCCCTGGTATCTGAATTTTTTAACACCCATCTGGAGTTCTATCCTCCCAGAATTCAGTGCCAAGGAATTAATATATATATATATATATTAATTCCTTGGCAAGGAAGAAATGTAGCAATCATTCATTACTCTTCCTTTTCTTTTCCGCCCTGCCTTTAATCCATTAGAAAGTTGTTTCCACCTTAAAAGTGCATCTAGAATGCAATTGCACCAGGGCTTCTGCAGTTTAGCTACCGTGGACTTACAAAGATTGCTCCCCCATTTCTCCTTTTGCCACTCACCTACCTTCTTCATTCCCCTCTGGGATTAGTCTTTTAACACTTAAATTACTTCATCTTGTTGCTAGCTTCCCCCCCTCCAACTTCCCATAATTCCCCATTGCCTTTGGGAAATCATTGCCTCTACACTAGCCTGCAAGGCTCTCTATGTAGCCTGCTTTCGGGTCTCTGCCCTTAGACACTGAGGCTTGGAGCATCTCTCCCACCACAGTGGTCTCTGTGTGTATCTTAAAGACCAAGCCTTCTCCAAGCTAGACTTTTAAACACTGCCCTGCTAGAACACTAACATCTACTTGGTCCGCTGCTCTCTGCCTCTTTTCGGTCAGGACTCCCATCTTCCTTGGTGAGCTCTCTTTCTGGCCATCTCTCTTTCCTGCTGGTCTGATGCCATGATGGATACTGAAACTCTGATGTCTGCCTATCCCACTGGAAGGCAAATATTGTCCCCGAGTCTTGGAGTCTGTCACACTCCCTGTCAGAATGCCATTGCTCAGGAAAGGGTAGGTAAACACTCCATGAGCTAGAGATTAACTGCCTATCTTCTCAGACCTATCTCTGTTCCAGGTGGAGTCTGCTTGGCCGGTCTTTTCTGGCTAGCTTTAGTCTCTGGATCATGACCTTGCATTCACACAGCTCTGCTTTGAGAGGCATTGTCCTCAAGGGAAACCCATATTTGAGTCCTTATACTCCCTTCCTAGGAAGTGGGTGAGAGTTTTAGAATGACTGGAGGTATAGCCTTACTCACTAAAGCAGGGACCCCATGGTTGTGACCACATGATTAATGGTGGATTCACCCAAAAAGAATTGACAAGGGAGCATTGTGGGGGATTTGATTTCAGGGCTTTCTTGAAAAAAAATCACTCTAAAAGGGAAATCCCTTCTAGAAATTCTTCTTTGGCAACCGAGTTATGATTTGAATTATTACAGAGAGTCTGTTGCTTGACTTTTATCCCCTGCCCCGCCCCTTGTAAGTGTCTTTCCTCTCTCTGTCATATTGAAATTTAACCTTGAGAAACTAGTGTAGTCTAATTATAAAACAAATGGTTGGTAAATATCTTGATATTGAGAAGCATTATCGAACAGACATCACTTACGGGGGTCACAAGAAGCAATGGAGGATGTGTTTTTATTTCAGTCCAGGATCCAGTTCCTCCCCCAAGTACCAGTGCTTTCTGGTTCCTGAGATACTCAGGTGTGCAGAGCACCTGTTTTTCCTGAGCTTGGATTCAATTCCATCAGCATGGGCTTTGTGGCTTTTCCATTCACTGTAACAACAGAGACAAATAAAATTCACTTTGAATCCCACCTTACCACTCGACTGATATCGTAACAGCCCAAATAAATAAATGCCATGTTTATTCTCTTGTGCCAGACTGTCAGGAGAGAGCAAATTGGTCCTATAGACATACCAGGGTAGGGGGCATGGAAATTCACTCAATACTTTCCTTTGGTGTTCATCTGCTCCATTAGCTACTTCCAGAGTATTGCTTCAACAGAGGATACAGGAATCCAGTTTCTAAGACTCTATACTCTTTTCCCAAGCAGGAGAGCAGAATGAGGGTGTGTGGAGAGGCTCTAGAGTTGGAGACAGGAGTTTTCAAAGCCTGGTAGTTGACACAGACTTAGCCATTAAAGAGAAAGTCACAGGCCAGGGAGCTAACATTTGCCAAGGTCTACCACCAGAAGCACTTCTGAAGAAGCCGGAGAGTAGCGTTTAGCTGAGCTCACTCCTTTGATTTCTTATTCTGTCAGATCCTAGACACACTCTCTCTCAGGCTGGTGGAGTTCAGGGCACTCAGTTTTTGTGGCTGCTGGGTGATTTGTGACCAAACATAGCTGAGTCTTTTGGAAGACATCAAGTGAAAAGAGACGAGCAAAGGCTATGAAGTGACCCGCATTAAAAAGGGAACAGAAGCCCTTTACTGATCTGCTTTTTCTTTGCCTCTTGATGAGTTGATATTTTTCTCAGGGATGGGGAACAGTGGGGATAGTAAATAATTTCCCCATTTTTCCTTACATAGTTTTGTCACTTGCTAGTGAATGAAATTTGGGCCTCTCTGGTCAATGAGCTACCAACAGAGATTTTTGTTTCTTTATGTAAAACGATAGTCATCAAACTTTCCTTTTCGGTTTTCTTCACAATGACTCCTGAAATCTATCCATTGTTAATTCTTACAGGTTGTGAAAAAAGTTAATTGAATAAGTCATTTGTACAAGGTAACCTATTCCCTGTTTGACTTGCAATGGTGCTAAACTGTTTTGCATGTGCTTTTCAACATTTTGTTTGCTGGAATAGGAATGTGGCATTAAAAATACCTAATCTAGGACTCTTTAGAATTTAAAAACCTTTTTAAAATGTATTGTTTGACGGCTTTAAACATATATACAATTTATTTTGATCATGCCCATCTCACACTTCCCTTCCAACCCTTTTAGGCCTTCCAACAGGACTCCCTCCATCCCCATGTTCTGTCCTTCTTTTTCCTAAATAAACCCAGCAAAGTGCAAATAGTGCTGTCTGTATTCCCGTGAATGTGCAACCAACCAATGGGAAAGAACATCCTACAAGTGGCTACAGCCCTGATGAAAGGGAACTCTCCCTCTCTCGGCAGCCAGCAACTACCAGTGACTCAGCTTGGAGTCATTGGCACCCTGAGGTACCCTGGGATTTTTAACTAGACTCATCTTGCACAGGTCTAGTTCAGTAACCACAGTGACTTTGTAACAGCCATGTAATGTCCAGAGGGATCACTCTTCCCCATCCTCCCCATCCTCTGCTCCTAGCATTTTTTTTCTATGCTCTACACCTTACTTTTTCTTGAATATTAGGTTTTAAATAGTTGATATCCAGTCTATGGCTCACAGCCTCATAGTCTTATTAATTTGAGGAGTGGTCATTGTAAAAGAAGCTTCTTGCCAGCATCACAAATCTGTAGACACAAACACAAATAACAACAAGGCAGTTAGATGATGTGAACAGTAACTGTAGGTTCCCCCTCGTATCCGTAACCATCTGAGCTTTGGATTATTGACTATATTTGTACTGCCAGACATGAATTCCCTTTTGTGGTATGCTTCAAATTCAACCAGAGAGTGGTTAGATACCCTAAAATAGTCATGCCACTATTGCCCCAGAGGGAACATCTTATCTGCCAGGACAGTGTTGGAGCATACAGGGTATATAGTACTTAGGTAAGACCAAATATATAATTATTGATGAAACCCGTGTGTGTGTGTGTGTGTGTGTGTGTGTGTGTGTGTGTGTGTGCGTGCGTGCGTGTGTGTGTGTGTGTGTGTGTGTGTGCGTGTGTGCATATGTGAGTGTGAAAACCAGAGATTGATAGGCATTTTCCTTAATTTCTCCCCACTTTGATTTTTGAGACAAGATCCTTCGCTAATTCTGAAGCCCATGTATCCATCTAGACTGGCTGGCCAGAAAACTCTAGGGGTCCTCATTTCTCCATACTCGGCCAGGGGCCATACCTGAGAGCTGGGCATCTGACTCTGAACCTCATACTTGTACAGCTGAACTGTCTCCCCAGGAGTTTCTTGTCCACAAATCTTTAAGCCTGGGGAAATCACGTGGAAATGAGGTAATAAGGATGGGGGAGAAAACTCTAATCGCAACAAGCCTGGATGAATTGTCTGCATCCCCATCTGTACAATGAGCTTCATACAGACTAATGGCTCCAGGCCTCTAAACTCTTTACAATAATGGCGATCCCTGCAAAGCGTTTGATCATTATCAAGAGTTTTAGATATTTTCATCCTTGCTGCTTGAGTTTCAATTTCACTCTTGTTTCCGAAAAATACATGATCTTAGTTACATGTAATAATTGATATATTTTACTTTTATTATAAGCAATCACATAGCTGTGAAATCTTTCCTCACATGTGAGGATGTTCTTAGGTTTTCTTTGTTATTCTGGAAGGTAATGAGTCCATGTGTATGTATGAGGAATTTGTGGGTTATATTAATGATTTAGGCTTGAGGAATGCTGTAATAACAACAGAATGAAATAAATTCTGAAGATCTTAAATCAGGTATGATTGTGTAGTTTTGTTTTCTGTAAATTGTATATAAACTCTACTATATTTTACTACTTTAGTTTTATCTGTTGTAAAATGTTTCTTTACTAATTAATTGTAAACCAGGAAGACAGATTTCTAAGTCAGTTTAAATAACTGCACACTGTTTGTGTTGAAAAATATTCATTGACTAAACAGAGTGACATACACAGTGTTAACACATTTTAATAAACATGTAACACACATTTTAATGAATTCATCTTAATTGCTTTATCCCAGTGTCAGGGTGTTAAATGGGGAGAAAATACATCGTGATTGAGATGTTAGAGACCAATTTGGCCTATTTGAAAAGAAAATATCTACAAGAGTATACATTTCTCTGCTAATTGAAAAGGAAAGCTAACTTGCATATACTCATCTGGAAATCTGTCTGGTAACTCTCAAACACAATTCCAGCTGCCATTGTTTCCAGATCCTTCCTTTAATTCTTTTTCTTCCACTTCATGGTGAGACATACCGGAAGCTTACCTTACAAACGCATTGCTTGCCTTATTTACCTTCCTTTAATCACTCTGTGCTGTCTGTTGTCGCAATGGACAGGTGCGCTTTTCTCTGGAAAATAACAGGGATTTAATAATCCAAAGCCCGGAGACTTTTTTTTGTCCACAGTGAGAAAAAGACTTCTGTGCATGCTTGGTGTCATCGTCTGCTTTCTTCAGAGGTGAACACTTTTCTCATTGCTGCTTCTTCTTCTTCTAAACAAATCAACCCAAACAGGTATTCCTGGAGAACCTCTGCATGGAAGGAATGCCAAGTCTCTCTTCTTCTGGAGCAACAGGACCCACGTTGGCATGAATCAGGACCAGTCTGTGGTGGTGGGATCCAGACCAGGGAGGTGTACTGTGCCCAAAGTCTACCGGCAGCCATCACATCAAGGAGCAAGGAAGGTAGGCAGCCAGCCACTGGCAGAGGGTGCTGCTGGCAGAGGGTGATGCTGGCTGGAAGGAGAACCCATCCTGGCACCACTCCAAGGTGTGTGTCCCACCTTGGAAATAAATGTTTATTTATTCTTTGAAATTTCTATGCACTTTATTTTTATCCTATCTACTCATTATTACCTACCTTCGACTACCCCAAGTTCCCTGCATTGCATTGCTCTCCTAACTTCACGTCTTGCTTTTTTGGAGAATAACCCATTAAGTTCAAATAGTGCTTCTCATATACATATAAGTAGAGGACCAACCACTGGGGTCTGGGCAGCCTACCAGTGGCCATTTAAAGGAGCTAACATCAGCTGCTCAGATTTATGCAGATTTGTTGACTGAATTGAGGGCTGTGTTGGCACTCTAGAAGAACATGTGGCTTCTGTCAGCTGCTTAGGAAACTGAGGTTGAATGAATCCTCTCAGGTGTGATGGAATTTGCATGTGGAACTTTGTGGGCCTTTGGTTTTGAATATAGGAGTCAAGCTTTCTCTTTATGGTAACTTGTAGCTTTTATTATTTAAAGCTTTTCCTGCTAGACACAACTTTGTAACAAGTTCCAGACTTCTATAGCTCTGGGCTTAAATGATCACCTTTTGGGATAGTGCTGCTTAAAATTAGTAATAGCTGCTTTCTTTGAGAATTGCAATTAAGAAAATTGACGACTTATACACTTGGTGTTTCAGGAGAAAACAAGTTTCTGAACTTAGAAAACACAGTGTTTAGATTCACAGCTACAGATTATGTTATGAGCAGTTTTCCTACCAGCCTAGTCCCAGAGTGCTCTCAGCCCCAAATAACACACAGAGATGCTGTATTAGATATAAAGCTGTTGGCCTGTTACTAGTATTTCTTATTGGCTAGTTCTGTCTTAAATATTAACCCATTTCTATTCACCTAAGCGTTTCCACATGATCTTATCTTGCCTGAGAGGGTTCAGACCTTCTTTCCAGTCCCTACATCTTGACTTCTCTACTACTACATCTACAGAATCCTCCTTGTCTCCTAGTCCCACCTATCTTGCCTTCCTATTGGCCAACAGTTCATTATTCATTAACCAATAAGAGAAACATATTTACAGAATGACATCTCCCATCAAGATTATACTTTCAAATGTTGAGGATGCTTGTTTCTCATCTCCTCCGTTCTTCCCTTTCATTCATGACTGCAGTTCAAGGAGCTTCAGAGACAAAGATTTGATGATCTATGACCTCCCTATTTTCTGCTTTGGCTTTGTATCTTCTATTGAAATTTCGTCATCCTAATGTTTCTTCTATAAAGGACAATTATCTTCTTTTTAATAAATCTACTTCCAAAGTTGCTTCAATCATATTTCCAGCTTTGCTAATGGAATTTGCATAATGAGCAATGTCCTAGACATTGTTTACTGTCAACTTGACACAACCTAGATGAACTTCAACTGATGGATGGTCTTGATAAGGTTAACCTGTGAGCACATCTGTGAGAGAGTGTCTTGATTGATAGTTGATGCAGAAGGGTTAGCACATGGATATCACCATCACTAGGCTGGCGGTCCTTGGCTAGAGAGCAGCATCCTCCATGCTGTTTCTTTCAGTTCCCGCTTGAGTTCTTGTCCTGACTTCCTTCCCTTATCAATGGATTGTGGCCTAGAATTGTAAACCCACTAAGCACTTTGCAAGTTGCTTTTAGTCAGAGTGCATTTATCACAGCCATAGAAAACAAACTAGATTAGGCAGGGGGATTAAAATTAAGAACAACATGTGGATATGGACTACAGGATGAAAATGGGAATGAAGACAACATGTTCATCACAGATTGAGCACCATTTGAATAAAGATTCTGTCCTAGGCCAGGGCATACTTCAGTGTAGCTGGACTTTCTTTTTATCCAGGTCTCACAGATGATAAACCCCAAATAAGCATACAGAGACATATTAATTATAAACTGTTTGGCCGAAGGCTCAGGCTTCTTATTGGCTACCTCTCTCTTAATTATGAACCCATTTCTATTAATCTAAGTCTAATCTTACTGAAGAAGAGTCCTGACCTATTACTCCTTCAGCTACAAGGTGTCTCCTGGCCATTTCTCTCTACCTCCTCTCCTCAGCATACTCCTCCTCTAGTAGCCCCTCCTATATATCCTGACTGACTACTGGCCAATCATTGTTTCATTCATCAACCAATAAGGCAAATATATATATATACAGAAGGACGTCCCACATCACCTCACAATTAATACTTAGGTTCATGTGGAAACACTGAGTACTTTAAAAGCCCTCTGTTCTGAGGGATGGGGTGTCAGGGCTTACAAATACAATGATGTGTGGCTCAACCATGTCTTCTTGTGCAGAGCTAAATACAGCAATTAAAGCTTTTTTCTATAATATCACAGTCATACATAATACACTGAATAGCATCCCATTTACCTTGTAGCAATTATCAAAGGTTTTATTTTGCTCTGTAGCGCAAGTGAACCAGCAGGAGCATTTGTCTGTTACTTTCCTTTCTTGTAAATTCTTTCATATGTAACCTTTGACAAGCCCAGTGGTATACAAATTTCCTCTAGACCCAATTTAAATGCAAGAGAACATTTGAGTTTCTATTGTAAAGGACGGTGACAGCTTGTCACATTAGGCCAATAGGATTTAACTGTTACCAAGTTTGTCTGCTATGGTAGTAATAAATACCCAAACTAATGGCATTTCTTTTAAAAATAGTTAAACTAAATTAACTTATTTATGTGTAAGAGTATGCATGTGTGCCACTTGCTTATGTGTAAATCAGAGGACAAGGCCTGGGAGTCAGTTCTGTCTATACTACCTGGGATTTGGGGATCAAATAAAAGTTGTGAGGCTTATATAGACACCATCTCTCCTACCCCTTTAAAAAATTAAGCTGGTGACATTTATTTTTCATAAATATTCTGTCACGGGCCAGCTTTACTTTAGTCTGTGTCCTGTCATTATAATGGTATCTCTCCAATAATTCCCTATCTTTTCATTAGGAAAGCAATGTTATAATTATCCTTTGGCATCTTGTGATCATTGCAAACACCACATGTTCACAACCATTCAAAGGACTTCTGAAGGTAATCTTCATGGAGAAGCCAAAGGATAGGACCTGAATGTAGGGGCCAATGCTTGAATATTGAGCTCACCTGTAAACTGTTGTGAAGAGAACTAAGGGAGGAAGGGAATTTAAAATGTCAGGGTAGGGCAATGGTCTGTGACCTCTGAGAAGCTAGAGGCTTGAGAAAACAGGGTTCAGGAACAGCTAAATGCTGGGCATATCGAAGAATCCACCAGCCCTTGGAATTCTCCTGTATTTGTTATCAAAAAGAAATCTGGGAAAACAAATAGGCTGATGGATGTTTATTCAGGGAGAAATCTCTTACACAAGAAACAGATTATCTGCCAGCAGGTTTTCTTCCTATGGATGCCTATGGATATTCTCTGTCTCCAACCAGGAAGCAAGAGAGAGCAACCCTGGGGTGCAGGACCCCAGACCTAACTCCCCCCAGGTCACCACCATACCTGTCCCCAGTGGGCATGGTCAGCAACAGGTGCGGGCAGGGTGGATATCTCACTACAGACAGGTGTTGGAAAAAGAGGCTTTCGGTACTACTCTGGAGTTAATCCTTTATTTTTGATAGTATGATTAGGCTTGAAAGTAGAGAATGAATCTCTTTGTGCTCATCCCTTTGTAAGAATATGAAAATGTCAATATGCTAAGGAAACTCTCCTAAGTAGTCAGGTCCTATTTGCAAATTTATTTGGCTATCAAGGAATGTTTTCACGTATAAATAATATTAGTTCTGAACAGATGGGTCTATTTCTTAAGACGGTATTAAAGAAGATACTCCCCAGTCTTGTCAAGGACTAGAAATGCCCTTTGTCGTCCATAGAATTGGTCTTGAAGTCGATAAGCTCATTTGAGAGTGAGAAAGATATCTCGTGAGTATAGTACTAGGAACGGTCCTTTAATGTCACCCTGAGAAGAAAAACCAACCTGGTTGTTTAAACAATGGTGGTAGCATTTTATCTTGTTCGTGCTAAGGAAGAAACAGACAACCAAATGCTTGGCAGGAATCCTGTTGGGGTCTAAAGAAATAAGTTCATGATCCATGGTACTTCCACCTCAGAAATTTCATGTTACTGGGATGATAGCTGCAGGGAAAGTTATCAGGAAAGGATGGAAGTACAATATAGACAGGCTCACCTCCATACCCCTCAGTGAACCAGATAGTGAAGGGGAGAGGTGAATTAAGGCAGGGGACATGTCTTATTAATAAGTAAAGAATGAGACAGAGGAGGAAGGAGACCAGAAGAGGTGGAGCATGGGGAGGGAAGGATGACATCACACCTCAAGTCTCAGGGACCTGTTAGACATCTTCTATTAGACTGTGTTCTCTTTCTGTCTGTGTCTCAAATGATAAACTGTAGGATGGTCTTTGGGAATTGAAAGTCATTTTTCCATAGGTAATTGTTAGGGAGTCTATAGTCCACAAGTAGTCCAGAGTCAAGTTTGACCCCAGATCTTTAGTTACCTAACCATAATCTTGATATAAGCAATTGTGACAGTGTAGGCAAATTTTCTAGAAATGACAGGAAACAAGAAAGCCAGTGAAAATTATATATGTGTATATATGTATGTATATATATATATTTATGTATACATACATATACACATACATGTATATGTATATATGTGTGTATATGTGTGTATATATAATTATTTAAATTCTACTTTATTATAGAGACAAACATATACTATATGACTGATTTTTAACTTAATGGTTTACAAATGATAGTTTAACAAATAGAACTAAATAAAAACTTAAGTGAGAATATAGCTTAAACATCCTTTCTAAAACTGTGAAGCATTTTCCATAAGAAAAAGGACTGTTAAATATTTGGAGACAACTTGGTCACTGAAAGTCTAAATTAAGGTTTATTTTTATTGGCTGTGTTTGATTGGATTTTAA